ACAAACTAATGCACATAATGCTTATAATCTAAATTTTTATAGCTTACACGATTTGCAAACCACTTGGAAAATTTTGCTTGGTGGCGACAAGTGATGTCACCATTTCTTTCCAACTCTAATATATTTTTGTGTTCCCTATGTATAAAACCATAAATTTGACATATAAAAAATTTTAAAAAATTAAAAAGTACAATAAGAATGCTCACAAATATGTATATTTAGAGTTACACATACTCTAGATACAGATCCAATTAGAGACTATTATGTAGGACAAACCAATGAGTCATCTATTGTTCCTGTTGAGAGACCTTATTTGCTCTTGTAATTCGCCCAAAAGTACAAACATTTTGGGTGAACACAGCTAACTCACGCACATTTTCAACTCGATCTGCAATTCGTTNCCTGTTGAGAGACCTTATTTGCTCTTGTAATTCGCCCAAAAGTACAAATATTTTGGGTGAACACAGCTAACTCACGCACATTTTCAACTCGATCTGCAATTCGTTCCTCGCGATTAAAAACTGTTTTGATACCAGTAAGATACATCGAGCAAAAGGTAAGACATTCTTTGACAATATAAGCCTCTGCAATTGAACCTTCCAGACGAGCTCGATTACGAACATATCTTTTTAAAGTTTCGATATACCTTCAGTAAATCACAAAACATATAAGGAGATAATAACAAAACCAAATGTATAACTAATAACAATTTAAAATATTACCTTTCCGCTGGGTACATCCACCAATACTACACTGGTCCAGCAATCTTGGCTTCCCTTGGCAAGTGAACTGCTAAATGAACCATAANCGCTGGGTACATCCACCAATACTACACTGGTCCAGCAATCTTGGCTTCCCTTGGCAAGTGAACTGCTAAATGAACAATAACATCAAAGAATGCTAGAACAAATATCTTTTCTAACTTACAAAGAATAAGTGTTATGTTATCTTGTAATGCATCCAAGTCTTTTACCATCAATGTCTTTGCACAGAGTTGTTGAAAAAATTTCTTAGCTCAAATAAAGTGGTACAAATTTCCTTGTGCAAGTAACCACAAATTTCAAATGGAATAAGTCATTGCAGAAGAACATGACAATCATGGCTTTTCAGGCCGAATACCTTACCATCCTTCATGCTCACAGACCTCGATATATTTGTTGTATATCCATCTGGATACTTAACTAATTTCAAAAATTCACAGAACCCTTGTCTTTCTTTTGGAGACAAAGTGTACCACGCAACTGGTTTTACATATGACTNCATTGCAGAAGAACATGACAATCATGGTTTTTCAGGCCGAATACCTTACCATCCTTCATGCTCACAGACCTCGATATATTTGCTGTATATCCATCTGGATACTTAACTAATTTCAAAAATTCACAGAACCCTTGTCTTTCTTTTGGAGACAAAGTGTACCACGCAACTGGTTTTACATATGACTCTCCATTCTTTTGGAGGTACAATTCTTTTATGATATTTAGGTCCTCCAAATCCAGACGAGCTTTATCTATTTCCTTATTCTTACTATCAATACTCAACAACGTGTCAAGCAAACTATCACATATATTCTTCTCTATATGCATGACATCAAGGTTGTGTTGAATCTTAAGCACATGCCAATATGGTAACTCAAAAAAAATGCTCTTCTTTGTCCAATTAAGTTCCTCAGATGACCGTTTTCTTTTTTGATTGTTTGGATGCTTCTTGAATTGCACATTTGGTAAACACTCCATTGGATCTAAAATCTCTTGCCCTGATAATTCACAAGGTTTTGATTTTTTCTCAATCTTACCATTAAATAACTTACTTTATCACCAGTTGTGATCTTGCAGCAAGTAACACCAATGGCTTGTGTAGCTAATTTTGCTTATTAATGGCTATGATAATGCATCGAAATTATAAATGGGGCATGCCTTTTAACCTTTTGTACTCCATCCAGATAGGTTACCATAAGCAAAAAAATTATTTATGGTCTACATAATAGCTGCACGCATTTGAAATGTATGATTGCTACATGCATCAAAAGTTACAACACCTTCCCACAATTCTTTCAACTCATCAATTAACGGGCGCAAGTATACGTCAATCTCCTTCCCGGGTGCCTGTGGTCTTGGAATAAGCAATGACATCATGAAGAATGGATCACTCATACATTTCCAGGGAGGCAAGTTGTAAGGCATCAAGATTACAGGCCACATACTATAAGAGTTGCTCATGTTGGCAAAAGGGTTAAAACCATCAGTGGCCAATCCAAGCCTAACATTGCGAGCGTTCCGAGCGAAATCAGGATATTGCTTATCAAAGTCTTTCCATTCTTCAAAATCACCAGGATGCCTTGAAAAATTCTCATCATCTACTCGTTTCTCTTGGTGTCATCTCANTATAAGAGTTGCTCATGTTGGCAAAAGGGTTAAAACCATCAATGGCCAATCCAAGCCTAACATTACGAGCGTTCCGAGCGAAATCAGGATATTGCTTATCAAAGTCTTTCCATTCTTCAAAATCACCAGGATGCCTTGAAAAATTCTCATCATCTACTCGTTTCTCTTGGTGTCATCTCATATTTATAGTCGTCTTCCTCGACATAAAAAGTCTCTGTAACCTTGGTTTCAAGGGAAAATATCGCAAGATCTTATGAGGTATCTTCTTACCCTTACCATCATTGAATTGATATCTTGACTCCCCANGTTTCTCTTGGTGTCATCTCATATTTATAATCGTCTTCCTCGACATAAAAAATCTCTGTAACCTTGGTTTCAAGGGAAAATATCGCAAAATCTTATGAGGTATCTTCTTACCCTTACCATCATTGAATTGATATCTTGACTCCCCACATACTGTACACTTATCCAATTTTTTATTCTCCTTCTAAAAAAGCATACAATCGTACCTATATGCATGAATGGACTCGTATCCCAATCCCAAAGCACATAAGAATTTTTTAACATCGTAGAGAGACGTTGCAAGAATATGACCTTTAGGTAAAAAGTCTGCCAATAGCTCTAACATCAATGTTAATGACTTATTGCTCCACGTGCTCAATACCTTCAAATGAAACAACTTAACCAAGAATGACAAAAGTGTATATTTTTTGCAACTAGGATACAAAACACGTTGAGCATCCTTCAATAATTTTTCAAAATTTTGAACTTCTTTACTATCAACACCCTCACATGTTTCTCCAACATGAACACCCCCTAAATCATTATCTATGAACATTCCCCTACCAACATCTTCCAACATTTTGAGTATTTTGTCTCGATCATCATCTTCACTATCGGTCATATCATCCTCGACACTATCAGCATCATCATCTTCAAAGAATTGAGTGATATTCATAGAAACGGGTTCCCCATGGTGTACCCACGTCGTGTAAGAGGTCATGATCTCTGTCACGTACAAATAATTTTTCACAGTCACATCATCATGTCATTCTGCATTCATGTAATTTCTACATGGACATCAAATTTTTTCATCTCGACTCGAACGTTTCATGGCAAAATTGATAAAATATTTGACCCCATCAATGTATTTCGAATCCAACCTATGCCTAATCATCATCCAACTCTTGTCCATAATTGATAGCCTACAAAATCACATATTTATCAGTATCATGTATCAAACATCATGCAAACTATGTTGTTGACTTCTTCCTATTTTGGTAGGTGATCCAATCTCATTCAGGAATGCACATTCGATATCATAGGAAACATCTCTTACCGCTTCGTACATCTCTAACTGAAATTCGGCAGCATCTCCCTAGAGTTCTCCAAGTACACGACATAACTAGGTGTCGCTGCTACACCCATCAAGTATGTACACAGAGAACAATGGGATCTGCCACACAGAATATCCAAGAGATGTAACAAGTTAAGCGTTGATATATTAACTATAATATAGACTTGTGCATTCTCAAACTGTCTGAAATTGGACAATTCAAAAAATCTCCACCGGCAAAGAATACTCTATGTCCGATGTGGATTCTTGAACAGGTACTGAGGTTTCATGCAGGCATGCATAGAATTGAAAAATTAATTTATATTAAGGTTTCAATAAATCACTGAAATGTATAACTCGCTCATTCCCAGAAATAAAATGAAGCATCAAAAAAACTAGACATATATGATAATACTACTGAAATAAGTCATTGACTAGTAGATGTAGTCTGTGTATTTAGAATGAGGAAATGCAAAAATTTATTGTTTGTTACTTGTTCTTTTGTTGAAGTAGTATGGAGGAGGGTGTCTGCTTTTATGGGTTTTGGAATAGTTTCAGGGGAGTCTCCAATGTGTAGATGTTTGAGACTAATGAAAGGTTGTAAAACTCCAACTGTGAGTCATGCTTTGGTGAGGGGAGTCTCTATGTTGATTTTTTGGGATATTTGGAAGGAAAGGTGCAGAAGGAAGTTTGAGGGCTTAGAATTGGATTCTTATGCTATTTTTGCACAAGTGGTTAGTGCATTGAGATTGCAGGTTTATATGATCAAGCTTGGTAGGATAGATGATCTCAGGGGTAAGGAATTACTTTAGGACTTGAAGCTTGAATGCAAGGCTTTGCTGGATGGCTTCAATCTAATTATGCAGCATGGTTTGGAGGGGCATCATATTTTGATTGAATCTGATTCTCAGGTTTTAGTTCAAATGGTATTTGGCAAGGTAGTGGTTCCTTGGAGACTACAAAGCATTATGGAGCAGATTTGGAATCTGCTTGGCAGAATGCAGTATCAGTAGGAGGACAAGACTTAGCCAAAGAGAGTTCAAAACTGCATGGGAACTGGAAAGATAATATGGCTTTATCAAAACAATCTGATAAGATATGGTGGCTACAGTTATGGGTTTTGAGGTGATACTTGTTGAGTGTCCTATGTGCAGGTTTTTTAGATTAAGTAGACAGTTCAAATCTAATTATACAGAATGGATTGCTTAAGTCTGATTGTGCAAAATGGATTGCAGGAGCATCAGATTCTAATTTAATCTGATTCTCAAACTTTGGTACAGATGGTGTTGGGCAAGGCAGAAGTTCCATGGAGATTGAGGGGTATTTTGGAGGAAGATTGGAGGTTTGTTTGATAGATTAAGGATGTAGATCAAGCATGTTTATAGAGAGGTGAATAGGGTTGCTGACTACTTAGCATCTTTTGCATTGCAGACTGGGAGTTCTTCTTTTTTCTTTACTAGTGGTGTCTTGCCACCTGCTGGAGGGATGTTACTGCACTGAGACCATAGCATACTGCCAAGTGCCAGGATGAGAAAGGTTGTTATTAAGGTACATTGCCTTTGTAATGACCTTTTGTTACTATCTGTGGAGCACTGCTAGTAGCAGGATGTATGTTTTAGCAGGATCAGTTCAGGAGGCAAGAAGCATAGATCAGGCAGTTTGTGATCTGTGGTCAGAGAGCAAATGAATAATTCAGAGAAATTTGATCATATCGCAATCCACAAGTAAATACACATCTCAAACGGGTTTTCAACATAACAAAACCCAAATCAAACTTGAACTTCAATTGCACCAAAACCCATTTCATTTTCACTATATTTCCAAGAAACANCAGGAGGCAAGAAGCATAGATCAGGCAGTTTGTGATCTGTGGTCAGAGAGCAAATGAATAATTCAGAGAAATTTGATCATATCGCAATCCACAAGTAAATACACATCTCAAACGGGTTTTCAACATAACAAAACCCAAATCAAACTTGAACTTCAATTGCACCAAAACCCATTTCATTTTCACTATATTCCAAGAAACAAGTGTTAAAACAAACAAAGATAAAAACAAATTCTGCACATAAAAGCCCCAAACCATATATATAGAAGTGGGTCAAAACCAAAGGAACTCAAAGGAAAATTTTTTATGTTGAAAATCCAGAAAGTCCACTACCTTAAATTTTTTTCTACATCCAACAACAACAAAGCTTCCAATTTTTCGATCAAGCAAACACATGAAAAACCCTCATTCCATTGATCAAAGAATCTACATCATCTAATTGCAAAATAAAAAACCCAAATTGAGAGAGAGAGAGGAATTGGACAATGTAACCAAACAAAGGAATTGGACATAGAAAAAGGGGGAGAGAGAGAGAGAGAGGGAGAAACTCACTAGAGTCCTGGACTGGAGTCGATTGCCTACTGCTCGCTGGATCGCTGCTGCACTAGATTAGATTCGCTGCAGCTCGCTGGACTGCACTCTGGATCGGTAGTCGCTAGACTCGCTACTGATCGATGTCTGGGTATTCTTCATCACTGATCGCAATAAATATTAATGATCTTAGAGCATTTTCAACAATGCTATCTAAAATAACTACTTAAAATATATTTAAATATTATATTATCTACTTTAACTAACCACTTTTTCAAATTTCCTATAACGCTATCTATTTTATTTAACTACTTCAACTAACTTTCAATAATAAAATATAAAATATCGTGTAGTATGCTATGCCTATTGTAAGTATCAATGCAAGAACAAAAAAGAAGCACACAAAAGTGACAATTGCTACGCAAAACCCAAATCAACAGTGACTTGTTTCAATTTTATAACCAAAACCAAATCCAAATCTATAAACAAATGAAATTGGTTTCCAATCCACCAAAATCATTATCCCAAACTTTGAATTCGTCTAACACCTCTGGCCCAAACATAGATATCAATCAATTTCCAGTAAGGCAATGAATTGCACAAGCAATGCCAAACGTTTCAAGCTTCTATTTAAATCCACCCAAAACTCACCAGGCACCTGTCCAAACTCAAAGTTTGCTCAAAACTCGATCATGAAACACTAGTAGAACAAAACCCAGATGACAGAACAGGTTTTTGCAAAAAAATTCCAGACCATAAAACACATTTTCAACAAAAACCCACATACCCAACAGATCAAGAAACGGTACCAAAAAACTAATTCCTCTTCAGATAACAAAAATGCGGAGCAAACAATAAAAAAACTGTCAAACATTAAAGTGAGTAGAATTTAACAAATCCACAAACAAAAGTATAAGACAAAATCCACAACAAACATACCAACCCATGAAAATAAATTACCCAAAAAACAAACCAATAATCTGTTTTTGTGCTAAAAAAATCAGAAAAATCAAAGATCAAATTGGTATCTAAGCTTCGGCTTGATCTCTGAGTTGAATCAAAGATCAAAAATCAAGGATTGCTGGAGGTTTCTAGGTTGGGGAGGGGCTTTCGGGTGGGGATGTTTTCTGGGTTGGGGAGGTGCGAAGGGGGTTTCTAGGTTGTTGGCGATGGCGGTGGCCTGGCGTTGAGGACTGGTATGGCTTGTGGCTTCGACGACTAGTGTGGCTGGTTCTTCGACGACTGGTAGAGAGAGGCAAGTTCTTCGATGACTGGTAGAGAGAGGCAGGTTCTTCAAGTTCAATCGATGAAGAGGCAGGGAGAGGTAGGTGGAGCTTCAGTGAGACAGACAGAGAGAGAGAGATCATGGAGAAAAACTTGGCTAGTGAGTGAAATGAAAGCTATGGAAAATAGAGTGGGATAAGTAGTCCGTTGGAGGAAAATTTTAGGAATAATCTTTTCACGACGTTTTTTTAAAATGTAATAATTAATATTTTAAGTTTAATTTAAAATTATAGAAATTACACTCTGCGACGAATATAAAAATGTCGTGAAATAATAATTTTATTTAATACAAAATTAAAATTTATCTTCTACGACGAATTTATAAAAATGTTGTTAATTAATATTAATATTTCATTTTACTTTAATAACTAAAATTTATATTCTGCGACAAAATATTTAAACATCGTGAATTATATATTTTGACTTTATTTTTTATTTTAATTTTAAATTATTTATTTTTGCGATGAATAAAAACTATCTACGACAAAATAAAAATTGTTGTAAAAAATCTTCAATTCCCGCCAATTCTCACACCAAAAAAAAAAATGGAGGAAATCACCTTTTTCGTGTCGTTTTTTAAAAAATGTCACAAAAAAATTGCCACAAAAAGAAATTTGCGACAAAATTATAAAATCGTCACGAATAGTACATTCTGCCCAAAAAAAAAATTGGGAGGGAGTCACCTTTTTGCGACATTTTTTAAAAAAACATTGACATTAAGGGCATGTTTTGGTAACTGTTTTTGTCCTGTGTTTTGGGTTTTTGTTTTCAATTTTTGTCAAAAATAAAAATAAAAATATGTTTGGTAACTGTTTTTGTTTTTGTTTTTGTTTTATATTAGTTGTATTGAAGATAAAGACAAAAAAATGGGAACAAAAAAAAGATGTTCTAGGAAACATGTTTTTCTAGAAACTCGTGTGCTCTCCACAGCCTATTTAATGAGTTCCTTCATTCGAATCCCATTAACAACAAAAAGAGGGTTTGATTTTGTGTTTACTATAAATACCCTTTGAAGGGTTTTTTTGTCTTTTTTCTTCACTCTATTATCTTCTCTCTCTCTCTCTCTCTCTCTCTCTCTCTCTCTCTCTCTCAGGCGAATATTGATACCTCAGACGAAGAAGAACTCACAAACGACAAAGATCGATACCTCAGACGAAGATTGATCTGTCGTTCTCTCTTTGTCTCGCTCTCACAAACGACGAAGAACTTAGATGATCTCTCTCTGTCGAACTCAGATGAAGAACTCAAACGACAAACCACGAAGAACTCAGATCGATAACTCAGATAGATACTTCAGACGATCTATCTCTCTCTGTCTCGCTCTTGTTCTCTGTTAAAACCCAAAAAATCTGTGTGTGTGTGTGTGATCTGTGAAAACCCAGAAAATCTATGTGTGTATGGGTGTGTGCATGTGTGTGAATGATCTGTGAAAACCCAAAAAATTTGTGTGTGTGTGTGTGTGTGTGAGTGAGTGATCTGTGAAAACCCAGAATCAAACCCTCCAAATTAAACCCAAATGCATTCCCAGAAACAACAACCAAAATAAATCATCTGTGTTAATTTGCTACATTTTGCGATTTTGATTTCTCAAACCCTCTGTGATTATTTGATTGTTAAATTTCTTGAACAACAATCAAAATAAATCTGTATTGATTTTATTGGGGGAGTTTTCAGGTGGGGTGGAGGAGTTGTAGGGGGTGGGTTTGTAGTAGTGGAAGTTTGATTTGTATTTTGTTGGGGTGGAGGAGTTGCAGGTAGGGTGAAGGTTTAAGATCCATTTATACACTCCTCATTTTGCCTGTTTTGACTTTTTTTGGAGACCATTGATTTCAATAGTGATCTAGAACAACACTTTAAGTTATCACTTTTAGTCAGGAATCTGAAACGAAAGCTTGATGATGTTGAATAATATTTGTTTTGTGTGATGATGTTAATGGGTTTGAAGAAATATGTCTAGTTTCTTGAGTTATGGGATATTGGTTGGCACGGCTATATAATAATGGGATATATTCAGTTAAGGTGGATGGATTGGCTAAATAGTCCAAACTAGGTAGAAATGCTTCTCTTTCATCAGATGATGTAACTGTATCGAGTGGTTTGGTATTTGGCCATAAACTAGAAAATTGGTTTTATTTGGTTGGTGTTGAAGTTGATTTTGACTGATTCAGAGTAGTATCTCATCTTATTTATTGCATATATATTGATATTATGTTGTAGGGTTTTAACAAATCAGGGATTAGGGGGCTCATGGAGGTGTAAATGGTGGAGTTAGATGGTTAGAGATGGACATGATTGTTAGTGGGTGGAGATGGAGAATAGACAATATGAAAGGAGTCATATAGCGGAACTATGGACAATCCAACAAGGCTTACAACTGATGATTGATTTGTTTACAATTTTTTTGTAGTAGTGGATTTGTAGTAGTGAATGTTTGGTTTGTATTTTGTTGGGGTGGAAGAGTTGCAGGGGGTGGGTTTTTGTAGTGGATGATTGATTTGTCGAGGGAGTTTCGGGTAGGGTGAAGGTTTGTNTGATTGATTTGTTTACAATTTTTTTGTAGTAGTGGATTTGTAGTAGTGAATGTTTGATTTGTATTTTGTTGGGGTGGAGGAGTTGCAGGGGGTGGGTTTTTGTAGTGGATGATTGATTTGTCGAGGGAGTTTCGGGTAGGGTGAAGGTTTGTTGTATGAGATATTATAAAGCATATTTAGGATAAAACGTGAAGTAGTTATCAAACATATTTTTTGTTTTTATTCTCATAATTTGATAAACAAAAATGACTCTCAAACATGTTTTTTATTTCAGTGTTTATTACAAAACAGAGACAAAAATTGTCTCTGTTTTTTATTTTTTTAAAGATGCGAAAACGAAAACGTTACCAAATGACCCCTAATATTTTAAGTCTAATTTAAAATTACAAAAATTATATTTTGGGACAAATATAAANAGACAAAAATGACTGTCAAACATGTTTTTTATTTCAGTGTTTATTACAAAACAGAGTTAAAAATTGTCTCTGTTTTTTATTTTTTTAAAGATGCGAAAACGAAAACGTTACCAAATGACCCATAATATTTTAAGTCTAATTTAAAATTACAAAAATTATATTTTGGGACAAATATAAAAATGTCGCAAAATAATAATTTTATTTAATACAAAAATAAAATTTATCTTCTACGACAAATTTATAAAAACGTCACTAATTAATATTAATATTTCATTTTACTTTAATAACTAAAATTTATATTCTGCGACGAAAAATTTAAACGTCGCGAATTATATATTTTGACTTTATTTTTTATTTTCATTTTATATTTTTTTATTTTTGCAACAAATTCAAATTTTCTACGACAAAAATTTTTTGTCGTAAAACATCTTCAATTCCCGCCATTTCTCGCGTCAAAAAAAAATGAGAGGGAATCACCTTTTCGTGACGTTTCTAAAAAACGTCGCCAAAAAAAGAAATGTGGGACAAAATTATGAAATCGTCACAGATAGTACACTTTTTGTGACAAATTAAAATTCGTCGCAAAAAAAAAACATCACAAAAAATGATTTTTGTTATAATGACCCAAATTTGAGACAAATTTTAGGCTCGATGGTCTAGCCTGAATCCAAACAAGCCCCTTCATATCCAATTCGAGTTTGAGCATACCAAATTCAACATACTAAATTTTGGAAGATTCAGGTCAATTAACACCCCTAATTGTAATTGCATACTTGGTCGTAAACTGTGTTCTATTCAGATTCCACTCAATTGTACACCCTTCACATAGAACGCTTCAATAGAAGAATCCTTGTGACTTAGAAAAAATTGAATTTTTCATCCAACAGATAAGTCCAAAACCATAAACAAAGTTCAATTTAGGTTTTCCTCGAAGTTTGAGCATTGAGTTTAATGGTGATAATTGAATTGTGATGTATCATATCATATTGGAAAACTAGTTATTGCATGTGTTTGAAGGCACAGAGTAATAAAAAATAAAAAATAATAAAAATATTTGTATTCATATCCAATATCAAATCACAAACATAAAAGGAGAGATAAATGAATTTAAGCATCGGTTATAGTGGGGGTGAGACGTGGTGGGCGGCAATAGTGGTGGTAGGAGACGATGATGGTTGTGGTGGGTGGGAATGACCGTGGTGGCGGAGGCGACAACAATTGTGGTGGTGGTGGTGACAGCGATAATGGTGATGGTGGCGACGGTGGTGGCGACGATAGTGGTGGTGGTGGTGGTGACGATTATGGCAGTGGCAGNGTGATAATAGTAATGGTGGCGACGATAGTGGTGGTGGTGGTGGTGACGGTTATGGCGGTGGCAGTGGCAGCGGTAATGGTGGTGGTGGTACAGGTAGTGGTGGAGAGATTTCAAACATTATATTTTTTTTAAAGTACTTAAGAGAAATAATTTCTAGAAGTACTTTTAAAAAATAATTTCAAACACACCTTTAGGCCCCAATTTTTTTCATTAAATTTAGGGTGTTAATATTGACCGTTAGATTAACTTTAAAATAAAATTTAAAGCGATCTAAATCGCGAAAAGCAAAAATTATTTTATTTATTTTTTAAAATTTGAATTGTAAACTATTTTATTATATAGATTAGTTATTGTCTGTGCTTGAAGGCACAAAATAATAAAAAAAAATGGTAAACAATAAATATATTTATTTTTATATCCAAAATTAAATTACAAACATAGAAAAAAAAAATAATTTAAGCATTAATTTGTAGTGAGGGTGAGAAGTGGTGGACGATAGTGGTGGTAAGAGACGGTGATGGTTATAGTAGGTGATAATGACTGTGGTAGTGGTGGCAATGATGGGGGTGGCGGCGACAGAGGTGGTGGGGGTGGCGATGACGGTAGGGTTGGTCGTGGCGGTGGTGGTCGTGGCGACGATGGTGGCGATGGCGGCAGCGGTGGTGGCGATGTGGTAGAGGTAGTGGTGAGACGGTTTCAAACACTATTTTAAAAAAATAATATTTGTGAAAAATAATTTCTAAAAGTACTTTTAAAAAGTCACTCCAAACACACCCCTAAGAGTTCTATTTTTTTCATTAAATTTAGGGTATTAATATTAACCGTTAGATTAATTTTAAAGTAAAATTTAAAGCGATTTCAACCGCGAATAACAAAAATTATTTTGTTTATCTTTTTAGATTTAAATTATAAACTACTTTATTATATAGATGTTACATAAGCTAAAAAAACACAAAAATTAAAATTTAAAATGTATATTATTCTTTAGATGAATGTGAAATAAGTAGATGCTACTAAAAAAATTGATAGACTCATTCATCCAATGTATAATATGTATTTGAGTTATAATTTTTTAGATTTTTTTAAGTTGAATATTACAAGTCGAAAATTAAAATTTAGGAGCAACATCTTTCAATCTCAACCAAACACACCTCTCGTAAAGTACCATAAAACCAAAAATCTATAAAATCTCTCTAATATCAAAACCAATAATACTCGTTTGATTCTAAAAGAGTTCAATAATATTTGATCAAGAAAAAAAAAAAGACCTTTTCTAGTATAATACTAGTAAAACAAGTTAAAAATCAAGTTATATATAATTTTGAAACTAGCACAATTCGTTTATAAACAAGTTTACCGTAACCTACTAATTTTACATTGCATACATGCCAATAACTTTTGAATATCTCTCCGGATTTGGAGAAATTTGTAAAAAAAATAATGTTATTATATTTTAAAAATTAATTTAATTTATTAACTTAATATGACAATGACATAATTTAATTATATTAATAAATCATGTCAGTATTTTTTAGGTCCAATAGAATTACTCTGTCAAATACTTGGACCATTTAAATTACATCAACATAGGCGTATAACTCATAAGCCCTAGGCCTTGCACTACATTTTGGGACAATCTGCAAGAAAGAACGGGAAGATCTCCCTCTTTCTCAGAGTTGTGGCCATGGCATTGGAAACGTATGCATCACAAAACGCAGACAAAGTCCACACCGACGTCCTCTTGCAAGCTAGAGAAGCTTGCTATAAGGTACTACTACACTTTATCCGCTGATCATGTCCACATATACCTATAATTGTGCTTCAAGATTTATGTCTGAGTCCATGTAATTCAAAGAAACCTCAAGAAAGCTGATGAATTCTTAACCTTGGGAACCCACAAGGCGCGTGATGCATTTTACGCATGTTTTGAGAAAGAATCGAACAAGAAACCAACCGAAATTGCGTCCGTGGGACTGCTCTATCCAGTGGAATGCAAGAAAACTAGGGAGGAATATGTGAATCAGTGCAGACCCACTTGGGTAAGTTCTGAAAACTAAAGAAATTATTGGCTTTTGAGTTTGATGTTATATTTATGATGTGGGGTTTTGAATATGGGTATTGCAGGTGAAGCATTTTGACAGGCAATACTGTGCTAAAAAGAGGGTTCAGAGGCTTTTGGATGATAACGAGTCCAGAAGAGGTCCTTTGTCACTTCCACAGGCTTACACTTTTAAACCCCCTAGTAATTGAATTTGACCTATATAGTTTGGAATATTGGGCTATCTAGGTTGTCTTTGGTATTGATTTTGTTGGATGTTAATGAATTTATAGTTGTATAGTGACTGCAGCAGAAATTTCAATTCCTAATGGACTAGTAGTGGTTATAATTGAAAGGAAAACGAAATTTTAAGTTTTTGAATATTAAATTGTTTCGGAGCATTGCATATACTCAATTTGAATCCTCTTACAATTTCAATTCCATGTGAGTTCTTGAATTGAGGAATTTTTCCAATTACTTATAGGGGTGAACAATTATTTAAGGAGTACCACAATGCATGTCTTCATTGGTTTGGGTTAAACTATTTTGGCAGGGGTTTAAGGCTTGACCCCTGAGGAGAGGGAAGTGAAAACTTATTTCAGTTTTGCTGGGAACTCATTGATGATTCTTGTGTTGAAAATTACACAATTGTTGAGCAAGATCAAAAAAAGTTCTAGATGTCTCTGTGCTTGCTCTATCACTGAGGATTTGCCTTGTTTCATGGAATCCAGCACTTTTGGCAATAGTGGTTAGTTTCAGCAGAAATGTATTTGGATTTGGTTGTTTTAAGCATGTTGCTTGCTTGTTTAAGGTACTGCATTCCAAGTATTTGAGTAAAGCTTTTTATGTCACTACTCTCTTTCCCATGCATGCCCATTTGTGGGGACAAAATAGTATCTTCTCTCTAGATTGAGTGAATTGCTTTTGTATGCTTCCAATATTAAACATGGTTTTCAAATTCGTAAACTAGACTCAGCTTGGCCTAATTTGAATAGTTGGTAAGTTGGAATGTCATTGGGAAAATGAAAAAAGTAAAACAGAGATGGAGTATTTTCTTCAAATAACACCTAAGGGGATTGCAACAAAATGATCTAGAGACAAAGAATGAGTTAGGAAGGAATGAATGGTTAACTTTATCGTGCTTTGCTTGAATTCATCAAATACATGGAGTTTAATTAATTTGGGCCTTCTAAAAAAAATAGCTTTCCTGGTGTTCAAATAATATCTTAATCCCCTTATCTTGTCTCCTCTATTTTCATCTCACCATGTGCAACATAGACACATTATTTTGTCATGATAATTATCTTCTAGTACATTTATATGTGGGCATTTCAAATCTAATAAGTAGCATCTATTGGATGTAGATGGCCAATTGTGATGTACCCATGTGCTTAGGTTAAGTTCACTAGCAAACATGTAATCAATGACTCTGTGAAACTGAAGGACCATTAAAGTTATTTTTTTACTGGCCAAGTTTTTAGTGTTAGAATCTTAATTAACTTTATTACAAGGTCTAGATATCGTCCTTGTCTGACATGATATACTTACTGACAAAATCATATTACCTATCCAACAAAAGTAATATTGACGATTTTGAAGATTAAATGATATTTTTTTTAAATTGAGAGTTTTGATAAATTTGAAAATAGCTGCATTCACCCGTGGATTTTGAAGTACACTTATTTTGTGGCTTCAGAGGAAACAAATAATTATGATATATAGTGGTGACATCTGAGTTTATATGTGGTGACATCTGAGTTTTTATCTTCCATTTGTTTGAAGATAAAAACTTGAGATCTTCTGCTTGGAGAAGGATTCATTTGTGCCTTTCTACAACGGGTAGGGTCAAATTCTTCCAAATTTTTTTAATGGACATGGGAGATTAAGTTGATCTGCATAGGAGTGGGAGGTTTTGGTTGAATGGTTAGACAGATAACATGTGCTACCTACTCTTTCTTCAATGAGTTTATGTTTACTTAATGTTTAAGGAACATGTCATTATGGGTAAATAAAATCTTCATTTTGCACTTCATGCTCAGTCTATTTGGAACATGTTCGCACTGTGGTGTAGGCATGTGAGGTGTTTTTGAATGCAACTGATGCTTCACTGTCTTGTGGGAAAAAAAAGAATGTGCATACCTAGTTTATTTGATATTTCCGAAAGTACTTCATAGACTGAAGTCTACATATTATGATGGTTTGAAAGGGACTAAGGTTCCTGTGTCAAATATGCTCTGTTACTCCCAGTTTTGTCCTCCAGTGTTGAAAATGGGGACTAAGGAGTTTTGGAAAATTACCTGTACCTTAGATGCTGTGACAGATCTGAAAACCAATGAGAGTTTTAATTCTTCAATTGTCATCCATGTTTTCTAGGCTTTTACTTTCGTTAACCATATGGGATTTGCATTTATTTATTGTTTTTTTTTCAATTTTTTAAACATACAAGTCGCCTTTAGTTTATCTAATTTTTTTTTACCCATTTGAATCGATTTATGGAATTATTTTTCCTGTTCGTATTTAGTTAGACCTTTGATATCTGCTGGACATCTTAACTTTTGGTATTGAGTTTTTAAGCTGTACCTTTCTCAATTCATTGTTTATTAGAAATTTAGATGTTGGTTTGATTTCTGAGGCAAAGCCTAGAACTGTGGATAAGCAAAACTAGCAACTTACTCATTCTTTTTCATTTCTTTTGATTGTTTGCGGTGAGTTTTGTACCCCTGACCCTATATCTCATGCCAACACCTGACCGACTGTGCTATAAAGGCTTTGGCATCAACTATAGTAGGATCCCCATAAATTGAGATTCACTGCATTTGTGTTCATAGGTATTTGCCAAAGGTCCTATACATGTTACGAAGGGTTTGGAACCAGAACCAGAAATGCAAAACTATTGGCATACTAGTATTTTAGCTAGTTGAAGATCTATTGTATGGGTGCAGTATAGTTGGGTGGAGTTTTAGTTTTGGCTTCCTGATATGCTTATCTACTTTCTTCACCATCAAGGATGAAATGATTGTCATCTTGTGCTTAGGCTCATTATGTTTTTCATCATTTTCAAGCTATTTGTCAACTACACGACTTTCTTTTCTTTTCATATGCCCTTTTATGAAATCAAGCACGGCATTAGGTGAAGGGCATTGTCAAAAATATACCATCATTGGAAAAGATCGGATTCAGATTTTTTTTTTAATATATTTTCTCTTCACTTCTCCTCTTGGTAGATCATTCATCATTAATGTGTGAGGGATTCATTTATATACAATGAATCTCACTGTAGTGAATGGTTGGATAATCCGTCAAAAAGGAAAATGAAAAGAAAATGTAGTTGAGAGAATCTCACTTCAAAAAGATGGATTAAGATCATTTTCAATACATTTTTTCTTTAAATTTTTTCTTGGCAGATTATCTACCATTAATGAGGGAGGAATTCACTTATACACAAGGACAGAATTAGAATTTCATTCTGAGGGGACCAAACAATGGCATAGTCTATCACAATCAATTACCATACAGCACAATCATAAAAATAGTTTATTTCATAATATCCAAAATTGAGTTCTTAGTTACTTACGGTATAAAAATTAGTTTGTGACAATCTCACCATCCACCTATACCTTTGTTTAAGATATGATATAATGATTAACAATAAAATATCATTAAAAAATAGATTCACATGACACTATAGTAAAATTGAGTCAAATATTAATGCACTTTTTTTAACAAAAATAACTTTTTTACCTTAATTTTACGTTAATATCATTTGTTTTCTTTTGGTCATCAGATTCATCCAAATAAGTATTATTGTTTGTAACGACCTATTGTTACATTCTTTAGTTACTAATGTCAAACTAGTTAGCTTTTTGCGTATATTAGTAATGCATCAGGTGTGTTGCATGTGAATAATTTTTGTACACAAAAATTAATAAAACATATTAAGTATATATGTAACTTAATTAAATATCATTTCAAATTTACCAAACTTAATTTTTTATTACTCAAATTCTATTATACGAATTATGAAAATTTTGTATACTCCCAAAATTATTTGTTTTAACTATTAAAAAAAAAAAAGAAATAGTTAAAGTTCAATTTTTTTTAGAATTTTGTGATTGAGATTGATTTTTTAGTGATGTTTGAGAAATGAAATTTTTTGAAATTCATTTAATTAGGATTTCACTTATAATCCCTTGAATAATATAAAAATAATTATTAATATACTAATCACATTGGAACCTTACTATAATTAGAAATTAGTTAAGTCAATTGAGATAAAATTTAACATACTACTCTACAATATGTATTATCAAGCATAGTAAAATACTAAAAAATTCAAGTTTTACTTAAAAATATTCTATAATATCTATTTTTACATAAAATTTTAGTACAATTTAAAAAGTTTATTGTGACTAAAGAATTATACTCATATAATATAAATTAATTTTAAAAAAACTATACATACGATTATATTTTTATCTTAAAAATAAAAGGGTTAAACTTTTCGATGAAAAAAAATATATATATGTGGGCATAATGTTATATTTGTATATGAGATGTGCAATATTAGATTGATTGAGTTTTTGAAGGTTGTTTTGAACGTTTTATTAAAAATATATTATGATTTTTTAGGGTAATATAATCAATTAATTTTTTTTTATAGAAACTGATTAAATAATTAAAAGATATGTTATAGATAATTTGGAGATTTAAAGACATAAGAATGTGATGGTAATTTAGATATTCAATTGTAAAAAGATAAAGGGGTCTTTATAATTTTTTATAAGGGTAAAATAGATATTCAAAATTTTTTAATGTTAAGGTATTTTTATTAGTCGTATAAATTAAATAAATTACTTATATATATGATTTTTTAAACCTAAAGAAAAATATAGGGTTTTTAAAAA